GGAGATCTCCAGGCCCTAGGCTTGCCAAGCCCCCACCGGGGGTGGGGGAACCCCCGCCGAAATGGCCCCCAATCCGCCGGCGGGGATCGGGCTGCCGGGGGGAACCCCACCCCGAAACGGCCGGATCAGGCCTACACCCCCAGCGTGATGACGCCACCCAGAAGTGACATCATCATGCTGGGGGCATCACCGGGTAACGCTCTAGCAGTTCCCCCCAAAACTCTATGGTACCATAGAGTTTTTGGGGCGACTGCTACAGCGTCGCCCAGTGATGCCCCTGGCGTGATGACGTCACTTCCAGGTGGCGTCACAGCGGTGCGCGCACGCTATGTGCGCATGCAAATGTATCAGGAGGGGACAAAGAGTCCCCCGCCACTAACAGTAAGAGACTTGGCAACCCTACCAGGCCTCAACTGGAGGCTGGCGACCCTGGTAGCTACGGTGGGGCTATTCAGTGCTCTGCCCCCTTTCTTGAAGGGATAGCCCCTGATAAAAACTTTTTTTAGCCCTTTAAAAGCATTTAAAACATTTTAAAAGAAAGATATTAGGCCCAAGCCTTCTTAAAAATTTTAAAGGCCTTCAGGAAAAAAAAATCCTAGCTACGGGCCTTCAGATGCCTAGCAAAGGGCTTCAGATGCCTTCAAAGCAAGAGTTGAACCCCACTGACACAATCCAAACTGGGTCAGAAATCCAATCCACCCAGCCCCACTATCTGGGGTAAAGTAAAGTTTTCTTAAGTCTTCTGTAGATTGATTGTTCATACAGCATGGGAATGTAGGCATGATGAGCCTACTGGCCCAACGGTCGGCCTCCATGCAATCGCCAAGGTGTCTGATGTTGTCAACACACATGAAGCTGCCTTATACTGAATCAAGTCCATCAAGGTCAGTCTCATCTTCTCAAAATGGCAGCCGTTCTCCAGGGTCTCAGGCAGAGGTCTTTCTCATGACCTACTGCCTGATCCTTTTAACTGGTGGTGCAGGGCATCGAACCTGGGACCTTCTGCATGCCAAGCAGATGCTCTACAATTGAGCCACAGCCCCTCGCCATGGAGGAAGTCTCAGCTCATTCCCTCACTTTAAACCCCTTCATGACCCTTCATGACCTTTGAAGGCCTTCATGACCTCAGGTTCACCTATTTGAAGGTCCATCTCCTTTCATACGTTCCTGTGCATCAGCTACAGTCCTCAGGCAGCCATCTGTTGGCTATCCCACCACTTAGGGTGGCCCATCTAGCATTGACCAGAGCTCAGACCTTTCCCATCATGGCTCCTTCTCTGTGGAATGGGCTCCCAGAAGAGATGAGGGAGCCCAGTTCCTTGAAGATGTTCAGGTGGTGCTGCAAGGCCTACATGTTCACCAGAGTTTGGGGTGGGGGGAGCTTGAATTGACAGGCATCTTTTAAGGGGGGGAGATTTGGGGTTTGCTATTTTATTTTTGGTCTGAACTGAAAATGTTTTAAACTATTAACCTCCTTTTTTTTAAGTACCCATAGGTACACTTTTATTATTTTTCGTATTATGCACTAACAAACATACATACAACACATCACCAACACCCATTTACAAAGAAAAAACATACAATGAGATCAGTATATTTTCTTCTAACTCTATTACCATATTAAAAATTTCTTATGGTTTGCTTAAGTTTCTGTGTACTCCTTTTTACCATCGTTTCTATTTAACTAAAAGAGATTAACCCTACCAAAAGTTTCATTACTTCATTACTTTAAATTATGCATTTATATTGTACCAGTCATACAGTTTTTTCCCTATTTTTTCCGTTATTAACCTCCTTGAACCATGAGGAAAAGCCGGACATAAATTTTTTAATAAACAAATTAATTTCTGGAGGTTGCTGATCATGGGGAGGGGATGTGTACAGGGACACACCATCAAAACATTCGCACCGTGCACACAACTTGGCAATTCTGCAGAGTCAGGGGGCTTCCTCTAGGGTTGCAACTGGCGGGGGATGGGGGATCTTAATGGGAGCGGCGGGGCAGTCCATCTGACATACAGTGACATGTCAACATCACTGCCCCATGTGACCTGGAAGTGACATCATCATGTCCAGGACAACAGGGCAACACTATGGTATTCAGGCAAAAACTCAATGGTAAATTTGGCTTCTACTATAGAGTTTTTGTCCAGAGCATTGCCCTGACATCCTGGATACGATGACGTTACTTTTGGGTCATGTGGGCAATGATGTAGACATGTTGCTGCACGTTGGATGGGTGCCCCTTACAAGCACTTACATGGATCCCCAATTCCTACTGAGAACATAGGTGTTTTTCATCCCCCCCACCCTTGCAGTTCTCCCATCTGCAGGCACCCAGTATTGGAAGTCATACTAGCATGCTAAGGTGCTTATATCTTCCCACCATGGAACCCTACTGTGGTCAGGAACACAACACAAGATTGTTTTCAACCTGCCACAGCCCTAAGTAGAATTTCTCACTCCTTCCTTTTCCACAGCGACTAACAAGCATTGGGATATAGGGTTGCCAGGTCCACCTTTGTCCCCAGCGGGGGACTTTGGGGGGCGTTCCCAGAGGGGGTGGGGCATCCCCAACAGGATGATGTCACATTGGGGATGTCCTGGCTCCAAGCCCCGCCCCCACAGGGACAGTCCCACCGGCTGTGAGCTGCAGCCGGAGGGCCCCGCCTGCCTGATATCTGAGCAGCATTGCCACTCGGAGATCTGGCATGTGGGGCTCTTTCCTGAAGGCTGCTTGCACTTAAAGGGTCTCTCTTTAAGTGCATGCGTCTGGAGGCCCCCGCCCGCCCGATCTCCAAGCGGAGATTGGGCGTGCAGCCTGCCGCCGCCCCTCTCCCTCCTCTCTCTCAAGAGAGAAGGGAGAGGGGTGACTGCAGGTGTTGGGGCTTGGCAGTCGGTTGAACCCCCCCAAAAGCGGGTGACCCCCCCCCCGCCAAATCAGGAGGTCTGGCAACCCTAATGGGATACCTATCCATTGATCTCCCAGGGTGATTCCGCACAACTGCTTGCCCCGACGTCAGCCCCAACGGAGCTGCTGCTTGATTCCCCACCTGAAAATCCGGGGTGGACCTTTAACCCACAGTTTATCTGCTTTCCCTCGGATTTTCCAACTACTGGATTTTCACCCTGCTAGTTTCCTGGGGGCAGACGGCTAAAACTGAAGCAGGGCTGCGGACTGCTCAGGCTTAATTCAGAGGAGCTTACTTCCGAGGAAACCTGCTAAGAGGCTTTGGAGTCCATTAGCAGGAGACTAATGCGGGAACCAGTTATCAGACCCGGCACAATTCAACCCGCGGAGAACCAGAGGCAAGTCCCTAATGCGGAATCACCCCCAGTGTCTTGTCTAGATCAACCCAATAATGAGGATGAGAGTTAGGGAGAAAAGCCAGATGCACAGTGATGCCACAGAAGTGGGAATGGATCGCACACTCATGTTGCAGCCCTCACGAAGGAAGAGAATATCAGCACACAAAAGGCACTGGACAACATTACATCCGCCAAGACTTCTGGGCACGCTCTGTCAAGCCATACACAGCAGATAGTGTGTGTGTGTCTTCTCTGTACCACTTCTGATGGCAGATGGGGGGAGGGTCTCATTTGATCCAGTGTGCCTCTGTGCAAAAAAACTCCCTGCCTACAGAGAGGTTGGTGTCCAAGTTCTAGCCTAGCAGTTTCCCTGACGGTTAGTTTTCTATGTGCATGGATTATTGTTAATGGAGAAGCATTCGGTCCTGGCAGTCACAGCCCTTAGAGATAGGTTTAACACCTCAGCTGTTTTTTATAAGACCTAAGGCTAGTGCTAGCTGACTTCACTGCAAATAAGCAAATGGTCAGCAGTCTGACAATTGCTGGCAGCGTCCCCTCTAAGCTGAGTTAGTGTGAGCTAGCTCACAGTTTTTTAGCCTCCAGCTCACAGATTTTTGTCTTCGCTCGGGAAGGAGGGCTCCAGAGCAAACTGATTTATGCAGCAGCCAAATCGCTCGCTCACCACTTTAATGCCTGTAGCTCACAAAGTAGAATTTTTGCTCACAAGACACCACAGCTTAGAGGGAGCATTGATCGCTGGAGGTTAGGCCAGCCAGGTGCCTGCTTATGGTGGCCAAATTGCTGGCAAGTTCAGCCACTGCCCACCAGTGCTCAGCTGGTTGGTGGGCAGAAGAAGAGAAGAAAAAGAAGAAGAGATTGGATTTATACCCCACCGTTCACTCGGAGTCTCAGAGCGGCTTACAAACTCCTTCCCTTTCTCTCCCCACAACAGACACCCTGTAAGGTAGGTGGGGCTGAGAGAGCTCTCAGATAACTGCTCTTGAGAGAACAGCTCTGAGAGAAACGTGGCTTGCCCAAGGTCACCCAGCAGCTGCATCTGGAAGAGTGGGGAATCAAACCCAGTTCTCCCATATTAGAGTCCGCGCACTTAACCACTACACTAAACTGGCTGGCCAAATGGGGGGAGCAGTCTTTGTCTCCATGTGATGATGTCACTTCCTGTAAAACCCATAAGCACGGCCAGGGAGATGCTCTAGCACTCACCCCAAGAGTTTTGGGGGCAGTTCTAGAGTGTCACCCCAGCATGATGCTGACACCTCTAGGTCACACTGGAAGTGACATCATCAGGCGGTTATGACAATAGCTGTCCCCACCCATGGTAGGTACCCGCCTGGCCCATCTCCTGCCATGGTGACTTTATCAACTCCTGAGTTTCTAATAGGTTCAGCTTTTTACGTATAATGAACCCATTGGCTGATGCAATTAACACTCGACTGAGTGTCACATTTAATTTCAGTAGGGAGACGGGAGGGGGAACCGTGGCACTTTCTGGGTCCCGATACATCGCTTAATTCTGACCGGCGGCGGTTTGTTTAATCATCTGCGGTTCGTGTCGGAGAAAAGGTTAAGTAGAAATTTGTCTCCTCCAAGGCTTCCTTAATGGAGTCATGTAAAGCATGCGTATGGAGCAGGTGACATTTGGGGCGCCAAAAAAAAAAAATCAGACTTACGTGCTGCTTCCCCACAATGTTGTCGAAAGGGAGTTCGGGGCTCCAAGAGCCTTCAGTGAAGGTCGCCCCACTGCTTCGCCTGTCGGAAGAGGCGACCGATTCTTTGACAATGTCTTCGGGAAGGGTCAACAGGCTTTCCTCCGGCTGCTTGATCAGATAAGTCTCGATGTTGTGCTTCCTCAGAAACTCATTCCGTTCCTTGCCGTGCCCTTCCTCAACCTTATAATCCCCGTTCAAGCAGTCCAGAGTCGCCTTGGATATGTGGATTCTCCTGCAGAGGCACAAAGGAGAGACAGAGCCGATATGGATGACACCTGAGCATAAAGGTATCACCCCTCCCCCCCGTTTAACTTTTCATATTGTTTCATGCTCAGTTGAAATGTGGTGTCAGAGGAGAGTTTGACGGACACTGTGGACTGCCAAGAAGATAAGTCAGTGGGATCTAGATCAAATCAAACCTGAACTCTCCCTAGAAGTTAAAATAACCAAACTGAGGATATCATACTTTGGTCACATTACAAGAAGACAAGACTCACTGGAAAAGACAATGGCTGATTTCGCACTAGAGCTGCCTCGATGTCGCACTGCCGTTTGCCCCGATACTATTGGCCAATTTCACACCTGAAGCCGTGGGGCTGCATTTGACCCGCGGCTTCGTCCGATTTCCTCCGCAGTTTCGTGATCCTCAAAGAACAGGATCACGAAACTGCGGGGAAAATCGGGCGAAGCCGCGAGTCAAAATGCAGCCCTGCAGCTTTGGGTATGAAATTGACCAATAGTATCAGGGCAAACGGCGGCACAACATCGAGGCAGCTCTAGTGCGAAATCAGCCAATAAGTCTAGGAAACGTTGAAGACAGCAGGAAAAGAGGAAGACTCAGCATGAAATGGATTGCATCCAATAAGGAAGCCACAGCCCTCACGTTTGCAAGACCTGACTGAGGCTGTTAACAATAGGGTCATCGTAAGTCAGAAGAAGAGAAGAAAGAGAGAACAAGAGAAGAGAGAAGAGGAGAGTGAGAAGAAAGAAGAAGAAAAAGAGATCGGATTTAAACCCCGCCCTTCACTACCCAAAGGCGTCTCAGAGTGGCTCACAATCTCCTTTCCCTTCCCCTCTCCACAACAGCCACCCTGTGAGGTAGGTGGGGCTGAGAGAGCTCTTTCAAGGACTACTCTTGAGAGAACAGCTCTGAAAGAACTTGTAAGTGACCCAAGGTCAAACCAGCAACTGAATGCAGAGAAGTGGGGAATCAAACCCGGTTCTCCCAGATTAGAGTCTGCGCTCCTTACCACTACACCACACTGTCTCTCCACACACACAGTTTCATGCTACCCGGTAGATAAGCCAAACGGCCTCCATTATTTATTTATTTAGGACATTTCAATGCCACCTCTTCATAGTCCTAGTCGAGGCCGCTTACAATTAAAACAACAGTAATGATACAGAATTCGCTGCCAGAGAATGTAGTGATGGCCACAGGCATAGATAGCTTTAAAGGGGGACTAGATAGACTCATGGAGGGCAGGGCCTTCAATAGCTTCTAGCGATTGTGACTACAGGGAACCTCCACATTCAGAGGCAGTAAACCTCTGAATACCCTCCAGAGTTGTTGGCCCTCTAGCCACTTCCAGAGATCTTCCAGTGGATACGTCTATTCCTCCTCCACTTCTTGTTTTATTCGGTGGAGAAGAAAGGTGGCCATGGTGTGAACAGGCTTACCAAACTGCCCTCCATGGTTGACAGTCTCCTGCCCTGTCTTCTGCTGGAAGGCCTCGGGCCTCTATGGCCTGTCGTTGGCCCTCCAGAGGAACTGGTTGGCCACTCCGTGAGACAGGATGGTGGACTAGATGGACCACTGGTCTGATCTAGCAGGGTTCTTCTTATTTTCTTATATTGCTGCTCTTCACTGCATCAGGAGCAAAAATGGGGGATAGGAAGCAATATCACAACATCACTTCCAGTTGTGCCCAGAAATGAGCTACCATGATTCTCTAGGAATTCCCCAAATATCTGTGGTTTTTGCCATGGAGAATGGGAAATTCCTAGAGTGTTGTGAGGTCACTTCTGGGTACAACCAGAAGTGATGTCTCAAGGCTGCATGACATTGCTCCGCTCTCTATTTTTGCTCCCGCTGGAGTGAAGAGCCCAGACGGCAACCCTAGGTGGAAAGGAGTAGGGGAGCCAAATCATTCGTATTCCCCCTTGCTTCAAAATCCCTGCCCTTCATTTCATTAGCCATGTACTTCGCAAGAAGTGAAACCTGAGTCCATTTAAATTAACAAAAAGTGTTGCTTTGACTTTGTAGACCCTGCTTAAGTTCGCTTGTTATTGAAACTCAGACTGCCATCTTAATTGGTTTCATTCATTAGATCAAACAGAGGCAAGGAAAATGGGGCATTAAAAGGCAAACGACTTCCATTAAAATGCAAATACCAGGCCCAATCCATGACCTAGTTATGCTGCTGTACTTTGGTAGGTCATGACACTTGGGGGGCATAAATGTTGAAGTGGCGGGGATGACAAATTCAATTCCAGTAAAGGGTAGTTTGATTATCCGGTTTGTAGACGGTCCATCAAAGTCAGTATTGTCTACTCAGACTGACGACGGTTTCCCCAGATCTCAGGCAGTGTCTTTCACATCACCTACTGCCAGATCGTTCAACTGGAGATGATGGGGATTGAATTGCCAGCCCCCAAGTAGTAGTTAGAGATCTCCTGGTAGGGTTGCCAGGTCCCCCTGGCCACTGGCAGGTGATGGGGGCTGGGTTGCCAGATATAAGTAAGGAAACTCCTGGCACTTTGGGGATGGAGCCTGGGGAAGACAGGGCCCTCAGTGGAGTACAATGCCATAGAGTTCACCCTCCAAAGCATCCATTTTCTCCAGGGGAACTGATCTCCATAGTCTGGAGATGAGCTGTAATTCCAGGGGATCACCAGGTCCCACCTGGAGGCTGGCATCCCTATCTCCTGGAATTACAGCTGGCCTCCAGCTGGCACACATCAGTTCCCCTGGAGAAAATGGCTGTTTTAGAAGTTGGTCTCTATGGCATAAGAAGAAGAAGAAGAGGAGGAGGAGGAGGAGGAGGAGGAGGAGGAGGAGGAGGAGGAGATTGGATTTATACCCCGCCCTTCACTACCCAAAGGACTGCTCTTTTTCAAGGACAGCTCTTATCAGAGCTACGGCTCGCCCAAGGCCATCAAGCCAGGTGCAAGTGGAGGAGTGGGGAATCAAACCCAGTTCTCCCAGATTAGAGTCTGCGCACTTAACTACTACACCAAACTGGCTTTGCAGTGTTCCCTCTAAGCTGAGTTAGTGTGAGCTAGCTCACAGTTTTTTAGCCTCCGGCTCACACATTTTTGTCTTAGCTCAGGAAGGAGGGCTCCAGAGCAAACTAATGTATGCAGTAGCCAAATGGCTCGCTCACAACTTTAATGCCAGTAGCTCACCAAGTAGAATTTTTGCTCACAGGACTCCACAGCTTAGAGGGAACATTGCCCCTGCTGAAGTACCGGCCCTTCCCAAACCCAACCTTCCCCAGGCTCTGTCTATCATGTATTGTCTATCTCCATCCATCCATCCATCCATCCATCCATCCATTGTCTATCTCCATCTACCATCATCATCATACTCAATCCCCTGCCTTCCTCCCCATTGGGGACACAAAGTGGCTTACCTCATTCTCCTCTCCTCCATTTTATCCTCACAACAACCCTGTGAGCTCAGTTAGGCTGAAAAAGTAGGAGTGGCCCAAGGTCCCCCAGAAATCTCCCGTGGCACAAGCAGGGATTACAACTTCGGTCTTCCAGGTACTAGTCCAACATTCTTCACCATTATACCACACTGCCTCTCCGGACTGAGGTATGTTATTGACACAAAATGCCTGTTGTTGTTCACGTAAAGGTGAAAGGACTGGAAGCTAGACCTTCACGGAAGCAGGCAACATGACCTCAGAGGTCCAAGAGCATCTCCTCTCTCAGATCTGGAAGGGGCAGGAAGCTCAATTAACTGGTCTCCACACACACCCCTTTGGGTCTCTCTCTGTCTTCACTGAGAAAGGGCAATTATCCTTATGTGCCAAAGACATGAGGAGGAGGAGGAGGAGGAGGAGATTGGATTTATACCCCGCCCTTCACTCGGAGTCTCAGAGCGGCTTATAAACACCTTTCCCTTCCCCTCCCCACAACAGACACCCTGTGAGGTGGGTGGGGCTGAGAGAGATCTGACAGAAACTGCTCTTTTTCAAGAACAGCTTTTATCAGAGCTACGGCTTGCCCAAGGTCACATCAGCAGGTGCAAGTGGAGGAGTGGGGAATCAAACCCGGTTGTCCCAGATTAGAGTCCACGCACTTAACCACTACACCAAACTGGCTCTCTTGATGTGCTGAAATACAGGCTGTGTCAGGTAGAAATAACATCTGCACCCTGCAGGTCAGGAGGAAGCCCCTTTGGATGGAGAAACAGCCAGGCTGAAATGCCTGTATTCTAGTAATAGGATGAGTGACGCAAAGGTCACCCAGAAGCACACATTAGCAACTCTTGAGAGTGTCATCTTGGTGCAAATGTTGCCCGCAGGGGATGTGTCTGTGAGTGTTGGGTCATCAGGTTGACAGATAATACAGATGCGGCAGTTCATCCAGAACTTATAAGGGTGGTTATTTGAGGGTGGTAAAAAAAATGAAACATAGAGATCGGGGACAGTCCTAGAGTGCTGTATGACATGGGGGAGGGTCACTTCCAGGTATGTACCCAGAAGTGATGTCACGGTGTCATGAGACACCATTTTTGCCATTCTGCTCTCCCCCAAAGTCCCTCAGGTCACCAGAGAAGTAGGGCAACTAAGTTCCCAGTCAGTGTGTGGGGGATCCTGTCACCCACCGCTGCTCTAAGTGGAAGAGGGAGAAAAATACCTCCCTATGCTAGCTGTTGTGTCACATCACTTCCAGTTTTTTTAAAAATGGAAGTGATATAGGGTGGCTCTAAAAATGCTAAGAAATCTATGGTAAAACCATAGAGTTTCTGGTGATGCCTAGAGCTACCTGTGATGCAATGCAGCAGCTGGTGTCATGGGCCAGTTTGGTGTAGGGGTTAGGAGCACGGATTCTAATCTGGGAGAACTGGGTTTGATTCCCCACTCCTCCACACACAGCTATTATTTTAGCATAGCTGTCAGCTATAGTACTTTGGTCAATGCAATAAAGCCAAAACCCAGTGTCCATAGGTCAAATCTTAGCTCAGCTGTGTATTACTTGCCAGCTGAGTTATGCCACAGGGGTTACTCTGCTAAGCTACAACTGCAATGGAAAATTCCAGAAAAGCTTAAAGTTATAGCTTTGTTTCAATACCTTAAATGCTGTTATTGTAACCTAATACTGCTCCACTGTATTTTATTGTTTATGGATTAATGTTTAAGGCTGATTGTTTATTAAGGTTTATTGTTCATGTTATTATTAAAATCAAAATCAAAAAGTTTTTTAAAGGGTTCAAATATGCTTTGAGTATTCCTGAAAATGAGACTATATAAACACTACATAAAAAACAAGCACTGTTATTAAGATGGATATTGTTAGAAACTCTTGCATGGATAATTCCTGTTTTTGACATTCACAAATCAATACAGACTGCTTAGAATGCCAGAAATGAGAACGTATTTCCTTCTGAACAGAAAATCACTCTTGTCAATTCTCTAGTTCAGGGCATAAATATGGAATAATACAGGCATCAAACGACACACATACACATATATATTACATAACCACAACAAACTCCTATCAGCTTTATACCACTGTCGGACTCACAGCTTCCCTCAAAGAATTCTGGGAACTGTAGCTTAACAAAAGCACTGAGAATTCTTTGTTCAATATCTCTAGCCCTCATTAACAGAACTGCACTTCCCAGAATTACTTGGGGGAAAGCAGTGCCTTTTTAAAAAAGCAGTGTAGACATATCCCACATTGTTTGAATTCAGAGGAGAGTGTTCATCAGTTGATAGGAAAGATGAGAAGTCTTGGCTGAAACTCAACTCAGAAGAATTTAACACGGCAACAACCATGTTTCACCACTTATGAAGAGGACTCATAGTAGAGCGGCTGGTCTCCCGGTGGTGATTGGAGATCTCCAGGAAATACAGCTGGTCTCCAGGTTACAGGAAACAGTTCCCCTGGAGAAAATGGCTGCCACGGACGTCCCTCCTCTCCCCAAAAACTGCCCTTCCAAGGATCCACCTCCAAAATCCCAAGGAATTTCCCAACCCAAAGCTGGCAAGCTTTACTCATAGCCTTCCTCAGAATATGGACAAGTGAGCAGGAGATGTGTGGGCAGGAATGATTCAGAGGGTTATGCTGTTATTAAAACCTGAAAGCTTAGGGGAATGAATTCATTCATCCCTAGGATGTGATGCTGCTGGTTAAAAAGACTTTGACTTACCCAGGGATTCCACCTGACTCAAGCTTGTTTGCAATATCCACGTCCCACGACCAGACGTCAAACTGCCATTTTCGGAGGCCCAGCACGCCGCACAATACAGACCCTGAGTGTATTCCAATCCTCATGTCCACGTCGTGCTTTGTCTGGGATCTAACATATCTGAAAAAGAATCTCAACATCTTAAAAATCTACCAAGGACATCATAAGAACATAAGAGCAGTCATGTTGGATCAGGCCAATGGCCCATCCAACCCAACACTCTGTGTCTCAAAGTGGCCAAAACCCAGGTGCCATCGGGAAGTCCACCAGCGGGGCCAAAACGTAAGAGCAGCCATGTTGGATCTGGCCAATGGCCCATCCAACCCAACACTCTGTGTCTCAAAGTGGCCAAAACCCAGGTGCCATCAGGAAGTCCACCAGCGGGGCCAGAACGTAAGAGCAGCCATGTTGGATCTGGCCAATGGCCCATCCAATCCAACACTCTGCGTCACTTAGTGGCCAAAACCCCCACTAGGAGGTCCACCAGCAGGGCCAGAACATAAGAGAAGCCACGTTGAATCAGGCCAACGGCCCACCCAGTCCAACGCTCTGTGTCTCACTGTGACCAAAGCCCAGGTGACATCATCTATGGGTATGACTCCAGGGTTACTTTTAAAATGACACAGGATGCCCTCCTATGCCATACTGTTGTTGATATGGTTGCCTATCTCCAGGTTGAGCCTGGAGATCTCTTATTATTATAGTTGATCTCTAGAAGACAAAGATCAGTTCCCCTGGAGAAAATGTCTGCTTTGGAAGGTGGACTGCATGGCATTATCTCCTGCTGAGGTTCCTCCCCTCCCCAAACCCCGCCCTCCCTAGCCCCCCCCCTGCAAATCTCCAGGTATTTTCCAACCCAGAGCTGGCAAACATAGTTATTGAACTGATTCGTTGCTAGCTGTTTGTTTGCGCTATTCCCTTAATAGTATTTAATGCCCAGCGAGCTTCACAGTGGGGACGTGAACTCAGGTCTCCGTGGTACTATTTTATTTGCTGCGTTTGTATCCTGCCTTCCTTCCCAAGGGGGACCAAAAGTGGCCTATATCATTCTCAGAGGTCATTTCGTGGGGGATCGCAGTTCCCCCGGGTGAGGTGCAGGGGGTGGGGCACACGACGAAGCCCCGCCCCCTGCTTCCGGCCGCCCTGCTTCCGGCCCTCATTCAGCCAGGAGGAGTCAGGAGAAGAGGGAGGGTAAGTTGCTTCCTCCCCACCTCTCCCCACCCCTGCCTGCCTGGGGCCAGGGAGGGCCTTGGTGGGGCTTCCTTGCACTCCCACCGGCCTTGCAGGTCCACCGCTGGGCTCCTGATGTCAGGGTGTGTGTCATATGCTAATGAGTTATGCTAATGAGTTCCCCTAGCTCTTTTTCTACGAAACGACCCCTGATCATTCTTCTTGCCTCCATTTTACCCACCCTACAGCAACCCTGTGAGGTAGGTTAGGCTGAGAGTATGTGACTGGCCCAAGGTCACCCAGCAGGCTTCCATGGCAGAATGGGGATCTGAACCTGGATCTCCTAGGTCAGGGCAGGGTGTCAGATCCCAAGCAGGAGAACAAACCCACGTTCCAAAGAAGTAAGATTTATTTCCAAAGCATGGTTAGTCATGAACATACAGAAATTGTCCAGAATGAATACAATACACAGGGGCAGTATAATATAGGAACTTCAAACTTGGTTAACCCAATGGGCTCAATTCCCTCGCAGGGGAGTTGATTAGAAAAGGCGCGATGCAGCCTGAGAACTCCAACGGCTCATATCATAAACACAAGGTCAGTTCACACGGGAATCTAATGAAGCAGAGCAAGAAGACATAACACTCCGTCATCCACCTGTAGGAGAAGCTTGGCAGTTACAGTTGCATACCAGAAGAGAATAACACGGGGAGGGAGGGAAGAGGGACACGTCCCCGAGAGATGGCAGCTCGCTGACAACACCTGTAGGAGAAGCTTGGCAGTTACAGTTGCATACCAGAAGAGAATAACACAGGGAGGGAGGGAAGAGGGACACGTCCCCGAGAGATGGCAGCTCGCTGACATACTGCCCACCTGAAAATACCACTTACCCACCGTCTCCCGGCCTGGGCGGGAGATCTCCCGGTTTGCCCGGGAGACCTCCAGGTTTGTCCGGGAACTTCTTGTGAAACGCCCGAACATGATAAGGGGCCCGAATATCCCCTTCTTCCACCCATTCGCGGTGCTGGGGACCGAAATCAACCCATTCCACAAGATACCACAGTTTACCACGTTTGAGCCTGGAATCAAGAATGCTAGAAATTTCATAATGCTCTTGGCCATCCACCAAAATAGGAGGAGGTTGAACATAACTGTCTCTCCACTGACACTGACCAGTATCTTTTTTCAACAAACTGATATGAAATACAGAATGCAA